GTAACACAGAGTTTGATGTCTTGTCATTTGTTCTGTAAAAAAAAAAAAAAGTGACTTAATTTCATTCTTGGCATGTAGGTAATGGTGGAAGCCTATCGCAGAGATGCAGTTTCAAAAGATCAGCTAATCAGCGAACTGAAGTCTACGAAAAAGAAGCTGGATTCTGAAATCAAAGAGTTAAAGCGGGAATTCCTTCAGCTTCAGAGCGAGAAGAAATCGATGGAGGTGGAAAATTCAAAACTTGCAAAGGAAGTGACTCGGATTCAGCAGCAGATGGAGGAATTGGAGAGCCAACTACAGGTGGCCCAAAAAGAACGAAATGACATGGAGACGGAGCTACAGGTGAGGAGGAAACCCAGCGTATCCTTTAGTGCATGAGAGTATTTCAAATTCACGAACTGGAAGGTGGCCCCATGTTCATTTCTGCTCCCAACACTATCTTTAGGCTGACATATGCTCTTCAAAGAAGATTGGAAGCCCAGTTAAACAAGAGTTTAGTCTTAACGCCCTGCATCCCAAGTTATGTATAATTTTAAACCATGGTTTAGCATGGCTGGTTTCAAAAGAAGCTGTTTAGGCTAATGCTTGCTGTTTTCAGATGAACATTGCAGTGAAACCAAAACAGTAAAAACATTTCTGTGGTTTTCCCTTTTTACTTTCAATCATTCTTTTTTTTTCCCCTCCATAATTCACGTTATTCATTTAACCTGGCCTTGTTCCTAAATATGTAAGCTCTCTGTAGTGGAGAATGTATCATTTCAACTTTTTCTTTGGTGCTTTCTCCAAATGTTCCAGTCTTTGCAGTTTGACCAAGAACAAATGTCAGCTCTTGTCAAAGTGAATGAAGACTTAAAAAGACAAGTTGATGAAATGCAACAAGAAACAAAGATGTGAGTATAGGCATGCTATCCTCCCCCCTCCACCATCACAACTTTATGGATGAAATGGGGCACACTGCATAATATTATCGATTCTGTCATAAGAATTGTACATAGAATTGCATTCTATATATTTTTGGGATGCACGGTTTAGGAAAGTCATGTCTGGATGCAGAAAATGGAATTTTGGTCCCTCTCATCCTGGAGACGGGAGGAAAAGTCTGTTTCAGCAACGTGTCTTTCCATATATATTCATAAGTCTGTTCTGTCCCATTTCTGTAATGATCTGCACGTTCACTGATCCCCAAACAAGTATTTTCATGTATCCAAAACAACTCCCTTATTTCAGCCACTCCTCAGCACACAGAAATACTGTGCTACTGACTTCGGTTTGGTTCTCTTCGTAGGGCCATTACAGAACAGAAGCAGAAAATGAAGAGGCTGGGCTCTGACCTGAACTCAGCCCAGAAGGAAATGAAAGCAAAACATAAAGCCTACGAGAACGCCGTTGGGATCCTCAGTCGCCGGCTTCAGGAGGCCCTTGCTGCGAAGGAATCGTCTGAAGCGGAGCTGAGTGAATTAAAGGCACAGATCTCCGAGGGCAGAAATAACCAAGCTAGTCTAGTAAGCCACATCGCTTCCTTTATCCGCTAATGGAATTGCACTCCTGCTCGAGCTGAGACACTTAACTCGGATGTGCCTTTTGCCTTCAGGAAAGGATCCGAACTCTAGAGACGGAGCTGCAGTCTCTAAGCCACAGTAAGATGATTCTCGAGAAAGAGCTGCAAGAGGTCATCTCGGTCACCAGCCAGGAACTGGAAGAATACCGAGAGAAGGTCCTTGAACTTGAAGATGAGGTAATTGCTAATGGCTTCTTGTGTGGCTCCGTCATCTCGGATATACGTAACCAAGCGCTGTCATGCATTTTCTTCACTGTAGGCAAACCGGCATGACTGCACAAACTGTAGTGTGGGTTAGTTGGTTCTTTGTTCAGTTTGATATGACCAAAGGGGGAGTGGTGCCACTTAAAACCCAGTTGAAGCCATGCTTGATTCTTGATTAATGTGTGAATGTGAACCTATTTGGGTTTTTAATAAACCATGCTAAACCTGAATCCATTAACCCCCAATTCCTGAAAATTGCTGGGTTAGCTTCTTGCCACTTAGAAGGGGCAAGCAGGCAACATCTCTAGTGTAAACATTAGAACAGACTTAGCTGAGTTAAACAGAAAACCCAACTCCCCCCACAATCCTAAGAAAAGAAAGAAATGCACCCCTTCAAATTATTCATCTAGCTTCCCCCCCTCCTCCAAAATTAAATGTAGTCTCTAACCATCCAAACACTGTTCTGGCCCAGTCCATGGGTGATGCTGAGATGCCACTGAGAAAGGTCTTCAGTGAAAGGGGTCGGTAATTTTCACTGAGGATGCAATGCAGTGTCTAATGGGGAAAAAAATTGTTTGTGTGGCCACACAGCTTCAAGAAGCAAGGGGTTTCCGGAGGAAGATCAAACGCCTGGAAGATGCAAACAAGAAGCTTTCTCTTGAACTAGAGCACGAACGTGGGAAGCTCACTGGCCTTGGCCAGTCCAATGCAGCTCTGCGAGAGCACAATCGCATTCTTGAAGCAGCTCTGGCCAAGAGAGAGGCTGATCTGGTGCAACTCAATCTTCAGGTACTGCTACTTTTCCTTCTCCTCCTCCTCATCGTCATCATCATCATCATCATGGCTCTCCCCACTCCCAGTCTATCATCTTCACCACTGAAATCACCCTGGCTCTTGATACAGGAACTTGGTTCATTCAGTCAAAACTCCATAAATGACATAGGTCTATATTGGTTGTAGGGAGGTATCGTGAGATGCTTTCATAATTAAGTCATGGCTCATCTGATCTCATACTGCAGCCTTCCAAATGGAGGGTTTCCGGATGCTCCCCTGACTGTCATCCAGCAAGGCTGAAGAAAGGGGCTTTGGGAAGCTCCAATCCCAGGGCAGATCTTTTGTACTGTATACGAATTAAATAATAAATATATGCAGAAGTCAATCATGCATTCTGTGCTTTGTGATGCTCCCATCCCTAGGTCCAGGCAGTTCTGAGGTGCAAAGAGGAGGAAGATCAGAAAATGAAGCAACTGATTCAGACTTTGCAAATGGCCTTGGAAAAAGAAAAAGCAAATGTCATCAGCCTTAAAGAACAGGTACAGTCTGGGCTGAAAGCATTCAGAGCTTGGTTAAGGACTCCTTGTGTGCTTGGGCACCTATGGTCAGGGGGTATATATATAAATATGTTCTATTGCTACTTTGCCCCCCCCCCTTTTGCATGTGGGGCCTCCTCCAGCTGGGTGGCAGGGTACACAGCAGACAGACTCTCCGTTAAAAATGCCCACAAGCTTCACAGCAGTGCACAGAAAAGCTGGTCCCAGCCTTCTGTGAGATGGAGGGTCAGTAAGAAAGCTGTTTTCCTGAAGGTGGCCAGAAGACCCCTGAGTTTTTCTCAGTCCAAAGTACCAACCCTGCAGCCAGCACCGTGGATGGCCCAGGTTGTGTCTGGCTGCAGATGGGATGTTATCCAGATGTGATAGCACTCAGTGTTCAGATGTGAACCTCTCCACTGAAGCTCCCTCAATATCTTTCAACATGCCCTCCGTTCTGCAATAGAAGTGTGGAGATGGCGTTGCACATTGCCCAGAACTACTATGAGCACTGCCAAGACGTTAGACTTGGAAAGGTGGTGTTCCCAGGGAGAGAAAGAAAGGAACAGGTTTAGAGGTAGATACCTCTGCCTTCCCCAGCCTGGTGTCCTGCAGATGGGTTGGACTTCAGCTCCCAGGATTCCTAGCCAACACGGCTGTAATCTTCTGGTGTCGGTGCTGAAACCTGAGACATCTGTAGGGCACCAGGTTGGGGAAAGGCTGCAGTTTGCCAGTGCAGTAACGATGCAATATGCTGTGACAGGTCACAACAACGAAAGCGGAGTCGGCCCATAACCGTCGGCATTATAAAGCTGCTGCCCTAGAACTCGGCGAGGTGAAGCGAGAGCTGCAAGCGAAAGAGGTCCTCATCCATGCCCTGCAGGCTGAAGTCGACAAGCTGCAGTGAGTGTTTGAGCAAAACGGAAACACTGAGGTTTCTAAGGCTGCGCGCGGTTGGCTGTCGTCTTCATGTGTGAGCTGTGTGAATGAGGGGAGGGAAGCCTGTATACCTGGGACAATCGTCTGGAGGGGCAACCTGCTACATTTGGAGAGATTTCAGCATCACAAGGCCACCCCCTAACCTTCTAAACTAGTGTTTCTCGACCTTAGCCATTTTAAGATGTGTGGACTTCAGCTCCATGGCTGGCTAGGGAATTCTGGGAGTTGAAGTCCACACATCTTAAAATGGCTAAGGTCGAGAAACACTGTTCTAATCATTGCCCTAAGGGTGGGTACAGCAGCCGGGGATGCACCACTGAGCCAGGCAAGCATTCTGGTCAAAGAAGTCAATTTAGCCATCTCAGCAAGTTCCATCATCTTCACCAACCATTCCTCCACGGCGGGTAGTACCAAATCTTTCCATCTTTGTGCGTACAATAATCTCGCTGCAATGATCCTATACAAAAACAAAGTTCCATGACATTTTTCCAACTGTTTGTCCATCCGTCCCAGAAGAAAGACCTCTGGTCTCAATTGGATATTAATCTTCAAAATCCTCTGAAACAGCATATGTCTTTGAATCCAACATTTTCTAGCTTTTTTACACGTCCACCAAGCATGCTAAAATGTCCCTTTTTGTTGCTCACCTTTCCAACGTGTATTTGAAGTGCCATTGTACATTCTAGACAATTTCTCTGGTGACATACGCCAGCGGTACGTCATTTTGTAAAACATCCAGCACATTTCCAAGATTGTCCTTTAACTGTCTTTTAGGTAAAAACCCACGTTGATCCTCATGAATAAATTCTTGCAAAATGATTTGCAGTCTATCCGCCAGAATCGTCATCAACAACTTGTAGTCATTATTCAATAATGATACGGGTCTATAGTTTCTGAGAGCATTGGCATTCTCAAGGTGATTGGAGTCTCTCTCTATTCTAGGGCAGAAGACGGGAAGCACTCAGAGGAAATATCTCAGATCCAGCAAGAGCTTGTAGATGCTCGGTCTCAGCTTCAACTTCTGCAGAAGCAGCTGGATGAGCAACTTGGCAAGCAACCTGTAGAAAACCAAGAGGTGAAAACGTGCTCTTGGCCATTCCCTTCCTCTTGATGTGCATTTGTTGTTGACATGCGCAGTAGCAAAGCACTGAAGGAACACGGTAAAAGGAGACCATCTCCAATGAAAAGGAAATTGGGTTGAATGAAAAAAAAGTTCTACTCCGAATCTGGGAAGAGTCTACGGTGCAGCTGCAATCTGAGCAGTGCAGATGCTCAGAGTATTCTAAGAAGGAATATCAGAGTTGGGAAACCAACACAGAAGAATTCTGGGAGTTGAAGTCTCAACTCAGAATTATTAAGTGTTGCCTTTTAGGTGTAAAGAGTACATGTTTGGGTTTTTAACTGAAGTGGGGAAAAGACAATCGTTAAGCATTTTGTTCTGAATTTCCTATTCTATCCCATCAGTACTTGGAATCTGAACGCGGGGATTTTGTTTGCTCTGCCCCATACAATATGTAATAAAATGGTAGATCTGGCTGCCCCAAAATGGAGTAATGGCTCTTGGCTCAGTTGGCACTCCCCCAAAGGTTGAAAGTAATTCTTGGTGAGAGAGATCTTCGTTGGTTTTGACCCAAGATTCGTAGAGGGATGATTCAAATTCTTGGGCAGTTGTGCTCATCATTGGGATTCTTCGTGGATGGTTGAATGGAAAGGAAGGTCCCATTTGGAATGTACTTTGCTTGGCAGCAAATGAAAGCCTACGCTCTTGTGCTGCTGATCCCGCCCCAAGGCTGTGGGGGAATGTCAGGAGCTTGCCTTCCTGCAGGACAGACTGTAAGAATTCTGTGCTGCAAACCCTGGTTTTGAGTTGGCTCTGTTTGTCCTTGCAGGTGGAAGACCTCAAATGGGAAGTTGAGCAGAAAGAGAGAGAACTCCAAGCCCTGAAGCAACAGCTGGATTTGACTGAACAACGCAGTCAGAAGGAGTTGGAAGGCGTGCAGTTAGTTCTGCAGGTATTTTCATTGGATTTCTACAGCTGTTTCACATACCCAGGCAGGTCATTCTTGTTCTGTTTGAGAGAATTAGAGGCAAAATATGATTCTGAATTAATAAAAATAAGGTAAGAAATGTTCCAGACTTGAATTCAGATTCTGTTTCAGACTTATCTAAGGCTGCTGTCCTAGAATTGCTATCTTGGCGGTGAAAATTCTGCAGCAAGTTTCATGTGTCGCACTGAGCTAATACATGGTTCATTTGGCCTTGATTTCTGCATATTGTATGAAGCCAGCTATTATAGTTGAAAACCGCTGCTTACTGCTTAGTGTGTTGTGTCAACCCAGTTGTGGTTTAGTCAACACATCCTGGTGGAGACAAACGATGCCTTATACAAGTATGTGAACTTCTGAGTAGACATGTGGTCAAACTAGCCTTATTTTTGCATAAATCATTGCTTAATGCAGATACACTGTTACTTGGGTATCATTCCTCCTTGTAGAATATCAAGACGGAATTGGAGATGGTTCGGGATGATTTGTCCATAACTCAGAAGGATAAGTTCACGCTTCAAGCAAAAGTGACGGAACTGAAAAACAGCATAAAAACTCTGCTACAACAGAACCAGCAGCTGAAGCTGGATTTGAAGCATGGAAAAATGAAAAAGGTATCTAAAGGGACCATGAAATATGGATTATTCCTCAGTTTTCATACCACAGCTTTGTTGTTAGCACTTGATCCCAAACCTACAACCCAGCAGTTTTGATTTGGAAGATGCTTTTCTGTTTTAGCAGCTGTGCAGAATGGGACTTCTGCCTTGCTTTTCATTTGGGATCCCTTGGTTGTACCAGTCCAGTACTTAATATTGTGGTTCTCTGGACCTTAGGAGGCCCTGATCAATGGAGAGCAAGACTTAAGACCCCAGGTTTCCCACTGTTAAATATGAATGTTAAGTAAGTTTGTCGCTTACAATCTTTTGCGTGATTTCTTTTGAAAAGAAAAAACTCAAGGGAGAGACCAGCTCATCAAATCCTGTGACACCAGTAAAGGTTCCGGATTGTCCTGTCCCTGCAGCTTTGCTGGAAGAGCTGTTGAAGCCCCCATCAGCTGTGAGCAAAGAGCCATTGAGAAACCTCAACAGCTGTCTCCAGCAACTCCGGTGAGTCAGGCTTTCTGTGTTTTTCAACTCCTAGCTATAATAAACATTAAGAAATGGCCACACCCCAAAACAAAAAGCCACCCAGAAAGAAATAACCTCAAATCATGCTGTAAATGCCCCTCTCCCAGTTTGCTAAAATCTCCCGAGATTGCCCCCTCAGTGACATTTTGGCAAACTGACTATATTTTGATGTTCTTGCCAGAGTCTCTTCGTATAAGATTTCTGCCATTTTTTTAGTACACTAGTGGTTTTTTTTCCTAAATTAATTTGGGGGTCATGAATGCTGTTTTGAGGGTTGACATGTTCATACACCCCACGGGCATCAAATTGCTCTAACCAGGGGTTGGAGGTGGGGTGCTATCTTCCTGATCCTGGTGATCTTCCAGAAGCACCTGATTTTTCCTGGGAAATGGGATCAGACGGTCCAGCAGGATTCTTCTTAAACAGCCATCCTGTTTCTCTCCCGTTTCTTTTCCTTCTGAAAGGCAAGAGATGGACAGCCTTCAGCGTCAAATGGAAGAGCATACGATAACAGTCCATGAATCTATGTCTTCATGGACGCAGATCGAAGGGCAGTTAACGGACCTTACTTCCAATCTCTCTGTAACTCTATTAGCCAATGAGAATCTTCCCCATGTAGACCTTCAGGAACACAAGCCAAGCACGGATGTCAAGAAAGAGCTGAGCCAGTGATCCAGGGGCCCACTGATTTCCATCAAAACTGCTTTTAAGTATGTAAAAAAAAGTATTTATCAAAACCCTATTTATATTTTGTTCTTAAACACACACTTTAGAGTCCTTCGCCTACGGTTTGTTTTAGTAACGGAAAAATCTTCGAAGGCAATGGCTTTATCAGACTTTTGTTCGTTGTACTTGAGCAGAGAGAGAGAGAGGATGGGCTGGAGCCAGGGAAAAGGATGGGAGGTTTGCTATATTAAGCCCTTGACAACAAACTCGAATTATTATGGCTGTGGAGAGGAGAAAAAACAGGCCGCATTTCAGTTTTCACTTTTTAAAATTTGCTAAACTAGTTTGGTGACGTTTTGGTCTGCTTCAGATTTTGATGCTCATTGATGGATAGATTATTCAGCAAAATCCAGTATTATTGTTATAATCACATCTTCGATCCATGCGCCAACAAAGCAAGTAACCTAACTACAAATCAGTAATTTCTGGAGGAATGCACATCTCAAAATCACCCTCTTTGAAACAGTTTCCATGGCATCAGTTGAGTTGGCTTCCAAGCACATAAGTTGGCCCAGTAAAACATTTTGATTCCCCTACTGACAGATGCTGTTTGCACATTTTTGTTGTTTGTCTTTGCAGACATCTGCAGTGCAGAATTGTGTGTGATGTTGCTCTGTTCTGGAGCATCTTATATATATATGGATTCTTCTGTGGATTACAAATCACGAGGGTTGGTTTTTATTTTTGTCTTTCTAAGGTTACTTTCTAAGGTTGGTGTTCTGAAAACATTTTGTGTGTGTGGGCCTAAGAAAGCTGGCCCTAAAACCAGAACTTTTTAGAAATTTAATTTACTTATTGTATCTTTCAAAGATAAATGTTCTACACTGCTTATAAAATCCCTGTTTCTTAGCTTTAATTCCCCCCCCCCCATTTCTTCCTCCTAATGCCTAACCAGAAGCCCAGATTTCATGTAGCCTTTGCAAATACATCTTCATTTATAATTAATAGGTTGAAACAACAGCCTTAGTTTTTTTTTTTTTTTAATCATTTCTCAACAATTGACATTCAGAGCCATTCTACCTTTTGGGCTCCGTGTCAAAGCACAGGATTTTAACTTAATTGCACTGTAGGATATCCTGGAAAATGAAATGAAGAGTGAATGGATGTCACAAATGTAGGAGGTACTGTGATCTTAGCTTCCTTAGGAGAACTGGGTCCCATTTTGTAAGCGGGGCTAACCCTAAGTCTAACGTTTAAGTCTAACGCTTAAATAACTCGATGATGATTCTGCTAAGCATAATGGGGGAAATTCAGAAGCAGGACTGCTATTTTCAGTGTGACTGAAAATCTTAGACTATTGAGGAGGACACAATCTGTAAATTAAACTTCCGTTTCAACAGTTTGACCAAAGAAACCTTTGAGTGGTACGGATTGATTGAATGTGGAAGGTTGTTTTTCCAGATAATATGTAGAAATGTCACTCTGATTTTCCTGTCAAAGCCGAGACACCTTTTCTCTGGGTATTCTGTTTTTTCAAAATAGGCTTTATATGGATGCTTTGATTGTCCATCTCTTTTTTCAACCTGAGTTCTAATATTTGTAATATTATAAACAATGATTCGGAATCTCCTGTGAGGCATTTTGGTTTTTTCATCTAATACATGAAGGAAAGGTACTTTTTAAATGTAAAGCTTTTTAAATTTGAGAGGGAGGAATCTCAGTTAGAGTTAATTATTTGGTAAGACTAATCCAGAGTTATCAAGACAAAATCTTGACAGTTTTATGGGTCAATCTAGACATGTGATGACTTTTATTATAATGTTGGTTTTATACAGTAAATAGTAGGGTTTTTTTTGCTGCTCATATCTGTGAAGCTTATGTATCTGCTAACTTAAGCAAGAAATACTGTAGTATTTAAACACCAAAGTTAATATTATGTCATGAATAATATGCATATAATCACTTCCAAAATTTGCTGTTCTGCTTAGCTGTTTTCGTTTCACAATTTTGGTTTACCCATGAAGACTTTTCTCAGCGTCCTATTAACAGTCACAGCTGAATGCTATGTACATATTTTAAAACAGTAAATCAGATTTTTTAATGCACCTCTTTGACAATTTCTGTATATCTTGGGAGGGGGGAAGGGACAGGAATAGACCCCATTGTATTTTTACTTAATGAAAAATCCATTTCTCTTTCGCTTCTCCTGTTTCCCTTTTCCAGCCCGTCTTATTTATATTTCCCATGACTTGTCATTTGGACCAGGAAAGAAGTGGGTCTTGTAGGTCTGGAGAATCGTAAGCACCCCAACCCAATAAATTTCATCCCAGAAAATATATGCTGTCATTCTCTCTTTTTAAAAGCACTGTCATTTAATTCATTCTTTAAGAAACCGAGAGAGGGGAGGGTGCTCCTCCTGCGCTTTCAGACCAGCCAAGCGGATCTGCTGAATCCTTCAGACTGGTCCCTTTGAGCATGCTGCTTTTTTTTTAAAGAAACCTTCACAATAAGCAATAGAGCCTTTATGGTTATTGCATTTTTAAAAACATGAATAAACAGGGTTTATTCATCCCTGGAAGGTAGAGCTACATAAGGTTTCAGTGTTTCTCTGTATATTAGCGGAGGATTCTTCTGAGGGCTTAAATCTTTTAGTGTTAACAGCAATTTTTAAAAATGGAGACGTTTCTTCAGTGCAACAATGTGCTGCATGTTAATTCACCTTATGGTCTTCTAAGTGATTTAGAGACTTGTGCGTTCTGTGAACTCAGTTCTTCCTTCTCCTTGTGTGCCGTCAGTTTCGTTCTGCCGTTTCATTACCAGGAAACATTTTTGAAGCAAAAAGTCTTCCCCAGAGGGACCCAGACTTGCAGGATACTTTGGGAGAGCTGATTCTTCTCGATCTCAGAATCAGAACTGTAAATTTTTTTTTTTTTTTTTGGTAAGCAGCTGTATTAAGTAGCAAGGGAGCATTAATGATAGACATAATCTTTACAAATCAAATTATGTCACTGACTTTTTGAGGGACAGAGGTATACTAAAAGCAAGGTGGAAGGTTGCCTTAATTTAAAAAGTGAATGCTGGTCAAGCCATTCCATTTATAATTAGGATCTATTTTAAAGTAGCATTTTTCCCCCCTCGCTTGAAAATACAGAATGCTTACCTTTGGAATGGGAAAATTTAACGCAGCAGAATATGAGATTCTTAGTCATAGGAATCCTTCCTGCAAGTATAGCTGTGCACAGAGTATTCTTTCCTTTTTACCAAAAAGAACATCTGATGCATATCATGTTCTCACATTTTTCTTGTTCCCAGCAAACTGTTGTCAAATTATATCGATAAGAAAAAAAAAGTCATTTTCATAACATGTTTGATTGAGTGTTCCAAAGGAAGAGTTAGTTGCATTTGATTAAAGATTAATAATTGTGCTTTAAAAACAGAGCATGTTAATATAAGAAAAACCTAAGATACACTAAACATTCTTGAAAGGTTTTGTGCAATAAACTATTTTTCATAAAAAAAAAAAGTGTCCCTTGTGTATTTTAACTATATAAGAGGAGAGCCACGTTAGTCTGTGGTGGCAAAAATCTAGGCATTTGATGATCTAAACTACAGCTTGTGAAAGCTTAATATATTTTGTTAGCTGGAAAAGAGACTACAAGGCTCCTGTATTTTGTCTAGGCAGTTCTGCAAAGAAAAGGGAGTTAGGACAGAAACAAATGAAAAGGACGCATCATGTGAGATAGACTTGAAAAGGAGGGAGGCGTACGAGTGATTTTTCTGCCTTAGGCCAGAAGAATAAAGAGTAAGGTAGTGGTTGAAATCTTAGACAAAGCAAGGAGACTAACTGCTCTATATTAACGGTCTATATTCACAGCGGTGGAAAAAATAGTGTGAGCATGGATTGCATTTTTAAAATAAATTTGAATGGACTTTCTAAAGTTTTCCATTGGACGTGTGGGGCTGGTGAGTATCTAGGGTGCCTTTTCATCCTTTCCATCTCGTGCGAGTGTTCAGTCTTTTAAATCCAATCTGTAGCACTTGTGTCTTTTATAAGTTGGCTTCTGGAGGTGAGAAGCAGATCACTTTTACTGTTCCTTTAGTTTTTTTGGTCCAGTTTCAGATCCTGGTGAGTTACCTTAAAGACTGATGACGACGTGCCATCAAGTCATTTTCGACTCCTAGCGACCAGAGATTTTCTCCATAACAGATCTGTCCCTAACCTGGTGTTGGAAAGAAATCTTACCAAGATCATTCCAAGCCATGAATAAAAATGCACAGGCTATTGCTTGAAACAGAGGTAAAGTTTTACTTCCCAGAGCACAACGCACAGAATCAGCTGTGGGAAGGCAACCCCGCCTTTGATTTCCCTGGGAGCCCTTTATATAGAGAAGGCCTGCTTTGTTCTGTCACCCTCTAGGAATTCTTCGAAATCGCACTTGGCTGGAGTTCCCAGAGGGAGTGCTCTGAAGTCAGGCACCCCACTGAATTGTGGTTTCCTGCAATTTGGCATCCTGTTGAGCAGAGATATTTGTTCAACTAGCGCTGCTTGATTGGTATGCTAATCTCGGCTATGTTCAAGGAATGTTAACTCTCCCTGCCACATTTTAATCTTTTAGGTGAGCCCATTCTAACTGTAAATTTTAACCCTTCTGCCTTGTTTGAGGGAGGAAAACTATGGTGGGAAGACAGTATGGTGGGGGAGTGGGCTTGATTTTCTTCTTACACTGGTCCTTCAGGTTTCCCAATGGTGCACTCACTGCCACTGTAACTGAGTCCATCTCCCTGGCTGCTGGTTGTCCTCTTCTTCTCTTTCCTTCCACCCTTCCCAACATCACAGCCTTCTCCAGAGAGCTGGGTCTTTCCATTGACCAACTGAGTGAGTGATTATGTGCCTTCAATCACACAGATAGATTTTTCTCCATGATGATCTATCTCCAACCTGGTCCTTCAGGTCTTCCAATGGTGCACCCATCACTGCTGTATCTGAGTCCATCCCCCTTGCTGCTGGTCATCCTCTTCTTTTTCCTTCCACCTTTCCCAGCATTATACATTTCTCCAGAGACACATCTTTGGATCATGTGTCCGAAGTAGGATAATCTGAGCCTGGTAATTTGTGCCTCAAGTGAGAACACTTGTTTGATGACCCATTGGTTTGTTTTCCTAGCTGTCCACAAGTTCTCAAGAGTCTAGCTCTCCTTTAAATCTACATCCCTCTCCCCTCTACAGCACTACCATCCATTCAGGAATGTGGCCCATGCCATCTACTGCCACCTGGGTAGTGCTCAACCTCTGGGGTACCCTGTGGTTTAGTCCAGACAGCATTACTGCACCAATCCAGCCAACCGATTGACTTAACCGACCATGGCTTAGCATCCAACCTGGATGGAACGGGTTCAGATGGCAGCATCTGGACCGACTCCCATCCTTTGCAGCTGATGGGCCCTGAATGATGGGCACTGCCGTTGCAATGCCTCTGAGGGGCGCCACGTTGGAGAAGGCTGCAAGGAGTCCTCCTGGAGTGCCGACGTAAGCTACTCCATCTTTGCTGTTTGGGCCGGGATTGGCTTTGCATCCCGGGTCCAACGCGCCCAGGCCTCGCATCAAGCCACGGCTTCCTTGGCAACAACCACCTTGGCAAACGATGCCCTGGAAAGAGAGTCAAGCGCCACGTGGCTTTGCAAAACTCTAGAGAAGACTTTCGCGGCAACCCTCCAGTTCCGGTTTCCATGGGACTCCGCCCCCGCCATTCATCTCTAGCCTTTGCGTGGCAGCCCCGCAAGCTTCCATCGGAATCCCGGAAGTGTTTCGCTGCGGCTCCTTTCTCTGCCCCTCACGCCGTTACCAAGGCAACCAAGCTGTCATCTTCTCAAGGCGCCGGTGGGGTTCCCCAGCAAGCTCCTCTCCCCACATGTTGGACTACACCTCCCATGCTTCGCAGGAATTATGGGTTTCGTCCTCCCTCGCATTCCGGGAGGGAAGGCAGAACTCGGCCATCGAATTCCCAACCCGTATTTCCCGTTATGCAGCGCGGCACGCCCGCCCCCTGGATGACGTTGCGGCCCGCAACTGGTCAGCTCGGCGCCTCGGTTTCCCTTTTCAAACCCCCAAGGGCGCGGGACGAGGCCGCTTCGCCGTCGAAGCTTTAGAAATGGGGAGGGTCGGCGCCGAGCCTCGAGGCGGCCTCCTCAGCCCCCGGGTGCGCCAGCGGAGGGCCGGAGAGGCGAGGAGCACCATGACCTCGGCTCAGGCAGTGCCGCGGGCAGCCCCGCGCGTGGCCGGCCGTTGGAGCGAGAAGGGCCTCGAGGCGCCGCGAGCGAGTGAGGGCGCGTCTGCGCGTGCGCGGTCGGCCGGCTGGTGGGCGAGGGAAGCGCGACGGACGCCGGGAAGCCGCTCGTGAGGTACCGCCCAGGGTCCCCGAGGGCGCCGAGGCTGCTCTGCGCGTGCGCGGTGGACGTCGTCGGCCGGGGAAGGATGGAGCGATGGGTGGCGGCCGCGGCGGCCGCCGGCTGGTCGAGTTGGGGCGGGCTGTGGCAGGCCGGCTGGGCCGGCTGGCCCGTCTGGGAG